ACTGGTAGAAGCGTTGTCAAACACTGAATACCTGTGACATCATCAACAGGAAGGAACTCACACTAACTTGGTGCTGATGTTATTTTGTGTTGTCCTAACCAGTTGATTAGGAACAGGCTCCATAGCTGCAAGACCGATGCTAGTAGACAATGGTTTGTGCGGTTCTCTTGACTTTTGAGGGTGGTAGGGACTGTCCCCCAGCGACCGAGTTTAGTTGAACAGTATCGATAAGTCCAGTGAGTTACCTGTCTACTTCAAGTGAAGAAATAGGGTGGAAAATGTAACTAATGCAACTTCAAAGTCGGAAAAATAAAGCAAACTGAACTTGAAGTTCATTTTGGTCTAGACACGTAGAGAGCCTACGATGTCTGAGTGAGGCGCAGATGTGTTCGTAAGTGCTAGATCAGTGCAAGTGGGGGCTTGATCAAGCAGTTTTACAAATGTATGTAATTCACCTGCCATGCGTATTTCGGAGGAAAGACTGTTCCATATTATTGCATACTTGATGAGGAAGAAGTTTTCCCGAGTTTTTGATCCGTATTTCTCAACTTTGACGGTAGATAGTTTGTTTCGAAGATCGTATTCATGTGAATCTCTAGCAAGAACTATCTCACATGTTGAATGAGTAAGGTTCTTGAGTAGTCTGAAGTAGAGAATCAAATTAGACTTAAGCCTTCCCTTCCAAAGGGGTGTTATTCTTAAGATTTGGCATCGGGAACTGCGGTCAATGACTGAGTCAGTCTTATGTATTTTGCGGTTGAAGTCTCGTTGTATTCTTTCCACCTTTAGTATATCGGATATGCTTGTTTCAGAAATTAAACCATGCATGTCTACGTAAATACTGTATTTCAAGCTATTTATGTCGAAATAAGAAGTATATAACACCGATGAAAAGTGGAATGTTCGGTAGTAGAAGGTTGGGAATGGTAGAAAGTTTGTAGTGACATTGGACCATAACCACACAGTCCTCAAAGCTGAACACGACACAACTTAAAAAATGGATATTCAATATTTGACGCGGAGAAATACCTAACAATGGAGAAGGCGAGAAGAATGTATTGAATGAATTGGGGTTGATCGAATGGCATGGCTCCGCCATGCAGGCGTGGTCCGTACTGAATGTTACCTTATATCTTCTATGCATATTAAATATATTGTTCTTTCTCTAGCCTAAACTTGTTCTCCATCATGTATTGGTAATTGTTAAGATACAGTGAGTTGGTGCTTTGTCCATCTATCCACCGCAGTCAGCAAGAGTAACCCTTCCTGAAACCATGCTGCTGGGACAGAGTAAAGGGATCTGGCTTCTCAAGCCGGTTTTTGTATGATTACATGACAGAAAATATTTATAACTTTTGGTATTGTTTCGTCTACTTGGTTCACTTGTTTATGAAGTTTATATTTTGAAATCGAAATAATACCATTGATGATGTCACAGGTATTCAGTGTTTCACAACGCTTCTACCAGTAACACCTTCTAATGTATTTCGTTCCCACCCAGAGAAATCAAAAGACAGAGTCGAGGAGATCGGAAGAGTATATTTGGCGATGACCAATATATCGGAATTCTCTGATCTAATCTGGCTAGCGATTGCGGTTGATGTTGAGCACGACGTTACCACACGTGATCTGGTGCGGATGCCTGACCGAGCGCCTTCAGCTAGATGAGTCCACTAAAACATATGGTCAGCATCCAATGTCGAAAACTTAGTGCTATTTATTTTGGGGATTTATTTACCGCTACACCATATTACTACTATGTGGCTCCGATGTTCCTACTCTGCTCTTGGCTAGTAATTACAAACTGGATACAGACACTAGGGCTTGATGGCACAATTTGACCTGTCCAAAATTACAGCATAGCTTACTTGACAGGGACCAAGTGCATAAGCCTCAAGCCTAAATTGTATTTTCACCAACTGATGGCTATGAGTTAGCAGTCTATTAGTATCAAATCACATACAGCAAAAGCTTCTTCTATTCCGTCCGCAACCATTTGGATCATTTTAACATAAGAAAGGGTGATGTAGCGGTAAATAAATGCCCGAAATCAACACTTCTGTAATCTTTGACAGTGGATTCTGACGACATTAGTTTTAATTGAATCAATTAGCTGAAGACGCTCGGTCATGCATCGGCACCAGATCACGAGTGAGAACGCCGTTCTCAACTCCTCCTGCAATCACTAGCCAGTTTAAATCAGTTGATTTTTGATATATTGATAGCCTATCCAATATATCTTCGAACCTCCTCGCTTCTGACTTTTGATTTCACTAGATGGGCAGGATTCATATCAGAAGATGTTACTGGTTAAACAGCTGTCAAACTTCAAATACTTAAAGCGTATCCCAGACTCCGGCTAATGAGGATAACTTTCCTATCCTCCCATATGGCGGCTGCAACTCTGGAAGCATTTCGTATCGACAGACGTCGGTTGCCGACTGGAATCCATATGCATCCGTATAGGCCATATGACGCTAGGATCAAGCACAAACTCAAGTTGGAGCTGACCATTCCACTTGATCATAATAAAACGTGTAAATGACGCGGGCTGTCAACTCGGAAAACCTTGTGTAGGTAGCGTACCTGTCCATTCACGTAAGGCTCATACAAACAAACAGGAGGGGGAATCTCGCGCGTTCCAAATTGAAAACATAAACTGCCTGTACATGAACGCCGCGGGTTTGCCAAATAAAATGGATGAGGTACGTGGACTCAGCAACGCTAATAATACTCATCTGATAAGAATATCTGAAAATTGGATATCTTCTCAATTTACGGACCAGGAACTAGCAATACCCAGGATGTCTTTGTTTCGCAATGACAGAAAAACCGAAACCGGGATGGAGTAGCCTTATACTTACGATCATGCCTGGATATACATCAAGTGCACAACAAAGAGTTTGTAACAGCTTAGGTTGATTGGTTAAGAGTTCACCTCAAACAATTAAGCATATGTCAAAACAGTATAGTTCAAGTATTCATTCACTTCCTTATTTTGTTTAGGCGCTATATTTCCTATTATCTTATATTGAATGTTGAGAGGCCTTGTTTGTCTGAACAAATAACCTCACGCCCCACTGTGACTACGCGAATATCTAAATAAAGACGTATTCACTACATGTCTGGTTTCTTCTATCAATAGCACGAGGGTTACATAGAGACACGAAAAGTTTATGAATCCTGGTGAATCCGTATGATGCTCAGTAGGATTGTCTACCACCTCTAGGTGTCTAGTTGGAGTCATCTACAGGAAGCCTACCTCTAACATCGAGTATGACAATCTTATACTGGAAGGATTACCCAGCTCTACGTGTCTCGGATTCACTCATATCCTGATTCTAGAGGACTTCAATCTTCCTACAGTAAATTTTGCGGAACATACGTATATTAGAGATGAAAACTCAACTGAAGCTTTGTTCATCAACTTCATTGAAAATCTGGGATTATTCAAAATTTTTAATTTGGCAACTCGTTGAAGAAACAGTCAGACGCCGTCGCACTTAGACTGGATATTTACAAAGGAAAAATTTCTAGTTGACAACCTTTCAATCGTGGTTCCCCTGAGGAAAATCGATCACGCTGTCATAGCTTTCAGTTTTATCAGCAAAACTGAGCTAAGACATCCCATCAACAACAAGCGCTGGAATTTCAAACGGTTGAATGTGTCAGCTTTACAGGACTATTTATAAATGGTGGATTGGGATGTTCACCCTCAACATGATGTGAATGATGATTGGGATTTCTTACTGCACACGCTCTTATGTACTACAAAGTGGTCTGTTCCTCAAATGGTTCCCAAAATCTACAAAATCGACAACATAAGAAACTCCTCTCTAGTAGTATCCCGAGTCGAAAAAGATTTAGGAGTACTGGTGCCGTACGATTTAAAGTCTTACGCTAACTGCTACACAAATGCCTTTCGAGCAAACCTTGCACTGGTTGTGTTAGAGCGCATTTTCGGCCAGTCCGATGGAAGAACTTTCCACATACTTTCCAACAGTTTTATTCGTCCGCATTTAGAGTACGGAAACAGTATTTTCTCCCTCACTCCTAAAGGATAAGGACACTGTAGAGGGTATCCAACGGTGAGCCACGGAGCCAGTTCAGGGACTCATATTCAAGCCTTATGAAGAGCGCCTCCAATCACTAAACCTTTAACCATTAGACTATAGGCGCTTTACAGGTGGCCTTCTGATGGATTACAGTATCCTTGACACTTCTGGACATCCTCTGAAACACCTACTTAAGCTTAGTTCCAACACTAACCTAAGAGGTAACACCCAAAAACTGGAGACACAACATAGCAGAACGGATTGTAGACACAACTTCTACTCCTTAAGAGTTGTCAAATGCCGGAATTCGCTGCCAGCCGAGTTAGTCTAAGCGACTTCCCTGGAGTCCTTTAAGAGGCAACTTGATCTATTCTAAAGGACTAAGAATAACATCTTATTATGATTTACCAACTTCTGTTTTTCCTCTTTTATCGTTAATATACCTAAGTTCCTGCCTGGAGATATTGGTGATCCCCTGTTACTGCACACGGAAGCCTGTTAAGTGAAAGCTTCTTCGATTCCATCCACGACCATTTGAAGAAGTGGTATGGTTTTGATCTAATGAATACTAGAACATGATTTAATTAATCTAAATTTGAACCTGACATATCCTCCACTTTTCTTCCTATCAGATCAGAACAACTAAAGGGTTATATCAGTAGGAATGCAAACAATGAACAAAACACCCGTGATATACAGGATTTCACAGTGAGTCATCAGTCCTTGGAACTTGTAACCCGAAACAGAAATGTCCACCCCTTCAACTGACTCATCCGAGAAAAGAATAGACACTTACAGAAGTTTGCTAGAAAAGGACTAACACAAGTCATGGGCCTTTTTCCTTACTACACACATCTGTACCTTGTTAGTATGAGTCCCAAAATATTTGTGTTACGACCAACCTTAGCTACGCGGGGTTTTGATTTTGTTTGTTGTTCGTGACCTATGGTATGTTTAGATTTTCATCCGAATAGCAACTTGTAGGAAGATCCATCATTACAAATCCATTTTAAGGGACACAAAGACTCCATCACATGTGTCGACTTCAACCCAACTGGAAAGCAGCTAGGTAAAGTCCGTTTCGTTTCGTGCTCATTATTAGCTTCTTGCTCTATGGATGCATGTTTAATGATTTGGAACATTAAGCCACAGACGCGAGCATATAAGTTTAATGGCCACAAAGACGCTATATTCTGCGTTCGATTCTCACCAACTGGTGAACTTATACTAACTGCTTCTAGGGATAAGACAGTAAAATTATGGATTCCGAGCATGTAAAATAAGACGTTTTAAAGTAATAGAATTTAGAAAAGGAGAGTCCATCACCTTTCGCGCCCATACTGCAGCAGTTCGGTGGGTTGATGTGTCCGCTGATGACTCAAGGATGTGTACAGCTTCATCAGACAAGTCGGTAAAAGTAGGTCCAGAAATTTTTTTTAATATATAGGTTTGGAGTTTACATAGACAAAAGTTCTTGTTCTCTTTAAACCAACATGTGAATTGGGTGAGGTGCTGTCGGTAGGTCACGGCCCATCTTATTTAGCCAGTTTTTCACCTGACTCACGCCTTATCATATCTTCATCAGATGATAAAACTATTAAGTTATGGGACACTGAGACGCAAGGTTGTGTACACACCTTCCAAGAAGTTGGTGGCTTTGCTTCACATCTGGACTTTCACCCGAATGGAAACTGCTTTGCATCGGGAAGTACGAATTGCACAGTTAAGCTTTGGGACTTAAGGATGAACCGTCTACTTCAACATTATGATGGTAAGTAGCTTTTCATCTTACCAAACTCTTTAACCAGGTTAGCAAAATCTCTGGATGTTAGAGAAACTGTTGTAAAATTTTCTTTACCATAGTTCTTGTCATGCGATAGTTTCACTAAGGCTACCTTCAAGATATCTTAGTGTGGGAATAAAGTACGATTTACAGTGGGTGAACAACAACTTTCTCAAGACTTCTCTTCATTAAAAGTTCTGAAAATTGTTAGCTAGCTTCCTCACCGAACAGCACATTGGTATATGCTCGCTAAGTTGACGAGAAAGTTTAAGTAAAATGTAGATTTATGAGGGTAAAATATGTTGGGCGAGTGGATTGGAGGTAAAGATACCCGGCTCTTAACCATAAGGCTGCACACTCAAACTCTACTTCATCTTATATATCTGGACAAAATCACTAATTCTCACAAAAATTATTACACGTGCTTCTTTGAATCCGGCGTTCATCTTGTTGTGCTAATGAGGTATGGCAACTTGGACCGATGCACATATGTGCCTGGTCCTACATTGTAGCTGACTGACGTGCTCCTGTATCTAATACATAAGTTACACTAATTGATTAAATAATTGAGGAAGAATTACACATAGAAGTGTTTGGGACGCAAATATGTGATATCTTGGTCATTAGTCCTTTATGTAATATTCCTCATATTTGTTTCATTCTAATTTGTTTGCTTTTGGATTTACTTTATGCGGATTTCATATGATTTTAGATCATACCGGTCCAGTACATAAAGTTGCTTGTCATCCCAATGGTCATGTTCTGCTCTCTGCATCTGAAGACTCAACACTGAAAATATTTGACCTCCTTGAGGGTCGTCCACTTTTTACACTTCAGGGACATCAGGGACCTATTACTGCAGCAGCATTTTCTGCGTCTGGTGATCATTTTGCATCTGGTGGGAGTGATGAACAGGTAAGCCATAGATTAAAAAATCATACTAACTTTGCTACCATACTTAAATTTATTCAGTATCTGTTAGACATTCATTTGTTTTCCTGACATTTTTTAAAGGAAGCAAATGGAAATACGTTAGTAGGAATTTATTTGTTACATGTTTTTCCGATCAATGAAGCCCCTGCTATTGAAGTGGTATTCAAAAACGTATGCAACACAATCGCACAATTCTTTTTTATGCTTCATACTGTTTTGTGGTAGTCTTTTTGCAGTTGGTACTCTCTACTTATGATTTAAATAGCGCTTAGTTAACTGTAATTTAAAAACTTTTCACGACTTCATATCAGCTTAGGATCCTGTAAACGATTTTTAAAATTTATTTCAGGTGTTTTTATGGCGGACGAATGGGTGTGCTAGAATGACTACTAATATTCCAGACAATAGTTCACATCCAATTCACACAACTTCTAATCCTGATGGTTCCATATCTCGGAACAAATCTATTCAAATTAATAGTCATCTAATATGTCCTAAATCTGATCCTCAAGTAACGTCAAGTGAAGTGCATGAAAAAGCGGAAAAACCATCATTCGCTACTTCTGAAGCGGCTGTCGACTTTCATGAAACTACTAACAGTGGAGCACAGAACCCGACTACTTCCGTTAAGTGTCATTTTCCGCCTGATTTCCGTACCCACTCTGGTGTTATCTCATCAATGACTTTACCATTAACGTCAAATATGAATTTTCTACAAGCTGTAAGTCCAATTTCCAAAATTAATATTTTATTAGCAAATGTTTCTGCTCTCTGTTCACTGTAATAAAGTCATGAGTAATTCTCCCGAGTTTCATCTCTACTTGGCTAGAAAAAAGATGGTTCATAATTAAACTGCGTTTACTTCTTCGATAAAGCAAATTTTATCCAAACGATCCCAAAAAACTTTGACTACTGAATTAATTCATTTCGTGTAGTTTGATGATCGAGACCCACGTAATAAACTTTAGTTTACTAGGTAAATGTATGAATAAAACTAGTTTGCATCAGTATTTATTGTCGTTTTCATTATTTACTATATCAAGACGATTGTTCCGAAGTTTACTGCAGTTTGGTTTTTCTAACGTATCAAGAAACCAGTGATAAATAACAATGATATCTATTATACCTGAACGCATAATAAATGAATGGACTTATTACATATTTTCTTATTGCATGATTACTGAATAACTATATTATATATATCCATATTCTTTTTATCATAAGCTTTCATTTTACCCATTGGCTGCTATACAATTGACCATTTTTAATTTATTCCCAACCAGTTAGTTAATTTATCCGTTTATTTATTTGAATAAAAACTTTGGTACAAGAGGGCACCAAATACATATGCTCACACAATAACAATAAGGTTGTGAAGAGATAGAGATTGTAAAGTGCGTATGATAAGAACAACAACCAACAGAAATCAGTGTTTGAGAGAATAATAATAATAATAATAATAATAATAATAATAATAATAATAATAATAATAATAATAATAGGAGAAGCAGTTCAGTTGGGAAAAACACGACCCGAAAGGAGTTATGTTTATTTTTATAAAGTAAAATAAAGTGAGAACAGGATCGCCACTGTCTTCTATTCTGAACCATGTCTGATGAGGTCTCTAGTCAATGTGCTCACCACCTCTAGGACCCCAACCAAGGAGTCGTGAAGGACCAACAGAGGCCTGTCCTATACGGCTTTCTTTCATACCACGATAACATGTCAGACACTGACCATCTCTCTACTCTTTCCAGCCGGTCCCAGCGTTTGCAAACAATACACGATATGGAATTCTATGGGACGACATTTGTAGTGCGGGTCCAAGCCGCGGAAGTCGATATTTCAAGATGGTGACATCGGCTGAATTATCGTCGCTGTGCGCGAACACACGGTGCCGAACCTGGGCATTACTAACATGGTGTTGCCACTGGATGTCAGCAATCCTTCAGTAACAACGGTGACCCAACACAGAAAGTCGTTTAACATCGTCAACTCGAAGAGGTCAGGTTTTAAAAGAATAGAGCAAAGCTGTTCTCGCCGATGCGTTGTATATTGGACCTTTTACAGCCAGACTAACATCACAAAGGCGCCAAAGATAGCCCAGATTAGCATAAGCTTCCTTGGGTTTCCCTATGCGTGAATTGATCTAATCTCATTTTGGAACAAGCTGGCTGATAGCCTTTTTTATTGAAAGTAGTTGAGTGCATAATTTGTAAGTCAATTTCACAACACGATTCAAGATGTTCGTAAACATCTAAACACTACTTTCAGTGAGAAATAATTATACCAGTGAGTTATTATTCAATAACCAATAGTTATTCAAGAATATGCTTCAAGTAAGTAATGCTACACCTGGAAAGTATAGATCAAATCATGTATTATGTTGCTAAACTTTTACATCTGGAGAAGTCTATACGGCTATTTTTCGTCTTTTAAAAATCAGAAAATATAAGCAGGTAGTAATTTAATTAAGAAAGTCGCAAAAATTAGGACATAATGTGTTGTGCTTGTTATCATGAGCTCTGATGCTAAGTAGTTATTCTTCAACACCCAGGAAACTGTATTTCAAACGACTATCAGAAGAATATTAAAGAAATCAAAGGATACATCATAATTATCGTTCAGTAAAGAGAAGCTAAGTGGATGTTTATCGTTATCATCTAAATTTTTTCCATTTTTTAAACAATAATTTCATATGGTTTCCGTGCATCACTAAGCTTGTTTAAATACTGTTGTTGGTTTTGTTAGTTATAGTATTCAACAATACAGTGACTACTTGCCTCTCATTCTAATTAAATCTTGATTTTTAACATAATCTGAACATTAATAATTATTTAAACCACAGCTTATAAACTACGAAGTAAGTTGTAACGTATCACTTTTCCATTTTATATACAGAATTCGAAAACAGCAAGTGGTCTAGAAAGTGAACGCCAAAATGTCCCACCACCACTATCTACAACACTTGAACATATTGTTTCACAACTAGATATTTTAACCCAGGTACTATCAATTTTACATGGTGATTTTAATAAACTCTTGTTTTTCAGTCTAAAGTATTGTTCAGTAAGCGATACTGATTTGTATGTCGTTGTTATTCCATGATTTCGAGGAGGAGAACCATTTACCCATAAAACTAAGGGGTTTTCATGTTAAGGATTGTACGCTCTACATACTTTACTTTATATAACTAAATTCCCAAATACTTTTTCCTAACAATTAAAAATCTGGTAAATCTAGATAGCTGTATGAGTGTTACCGGGTGTATGACTGAGAAAGGTCTTATCAGTATAGCAAAAACCAGATTGGTTAGCGCCTATCTTACGCACCTTACCTTGCTAAATGTCAGGTATGTACTGCTTAAGTGGGAGAAGTTTCATCTTGCACTTATGACTTAGTTTATTGAGGATAATACTTAACCACTCACTGTATTTTTTTTTCGGAGTTGTTATCGTATGTTACAATTTATTCAGAGGATGCTTTATTTGAGTACTAATCCAAACTTACTTTTATAAAAGATGTAGTAAAAAACTAAAGCAGGATTATCACTGACTTCTGTTTTGAACAATATATGATAACATCTCAAACCATTGAGTTGCACGATCTGTAGGATCACAAACCAAAAATCGTGGTGGACCAACGGGTATCAGTTCTGCATGCCACCTTCCATATTACAGTGACATGTCATAAACTGACTACCTCTCTTCCGTTCCACCTAGTTTTAGCATCTGCGAATAATGTGTAATGTGAAAGCCACTGTAGTGAGATTCACAAAATATTTCAAAACCACTTGTTGAGGATATGCAATCCTCAAATAAAGCTTTTGGGAAAGGCAATCAATGTCGATGATTTTCGTTATAGCAAATTATTTTGTGTGAAATTGGCTTACGTATTTTTAACAAATTTTAGTATTATTTTTGTTTACTAACAAGTACTCAGTCCATAATCTCTAATCACCGTAATTGATGTGTAGTCGATTAACTAAAATACATTTCCGATTGATACACTGAGGTCACCGATATGCGTCACAACCATAAGGTAGTTGTAATGGTAAGTATAAGTAATTGGATTGACCATTTATAAGGTTTTGTTAAATCCTTAACTTCCTTACTTACGCCTATTACTCCTCATGGAGGAGCATAGACCTCTCATCAACATTCTCCATCCAACTCTGTTCTGGGCAATCCTTTACACTTGTTTCCAGTTTCTATTCATTCTTCTGATGTGTGCTTCCGATTCCCTGCTCAATGTGTTCCTTGGTCTTCCTCTTCTCTTGTTCCCTTCAGGATTCCAAGTTAGCGCTCGCCTTGTGATGTAATTCGGTGATTTTCGCAATATGTGTCCTATCGACTCGAGACTTCTTTTCCTAATTTTCTCCTCATCTGGAGGTTGGCTTTTTGCCTGTTATAGTACGCTGTTGCTAATGGTATCCGGTCAATGGACATTGAGTACCTTGCTTAGACAATTGTGTATAAATACTTGTACCGTTTTGATGGTGGTTGTAGTAGTATTCCATGTTTCAGTTCTATACAGTAGAACTGTCTTGGCGTTCGTATTAGAGATTCTGACTGTGATATTGGTTGACTGTTTTGAATTTCATATGTTCTTCAACTGTAGGAATTCCGTTCTTTGAACCCTTAAGCTATTTTATTATTGCCTAAATAAACCGTTAATATATATCATGAAATATAAGACCTATAATGTATTGGTTTTATGAACACGTTAATAACAGATTTTCCGACTTATTACTCCTCACCAACTAATAATTTGCTTTCCAACGACTTCTTTTGTTACTTGTAGCTAACACCCTACATGTTGACTTATATGAAAGTACCTAATGTGTGAGTGTTTTTGTTTTGGAAAACTAATCTTCATTCATGCTAGGTTTGAAGCTATTACGAGTTCACTTGTTATGCGAACGGAACAAAGACTTGTGACCTTTGAACAATAAGTTAGCTATTGATGCGTCCCAGCCCCGCTAACCAGAGGAAGAAGTCCAAGCTTGAAACTGGAAAGTATATTCTGTAAGCCAGAAGCACTAGTGAATAATAACACACAAATCAAACGTATATATATATATATATATATATATATATATATAGCGTTAAAGTGTTCTTGGGAAGCGTCGCAAAAATAGCCTACTAAAAATACACAGCGGACCAATAGCGTTAAAGATTCTCCCTAGTGGGAAATACGACATAAAGGTGAAAAAAGCGCTTTCGGCACAAAAACAAGGAAATTGTAGTTTCCAAAATAAAATTACAAAATTAATGCATTTACCAAGTGAGTTCTGGGGATGTAACATCCCCAACAATTCACATACAACTTGTTGTGATAGATTTCGGTTTGTGAGAAACAACAAGAGTAGAATTGTATGGATCATAACATAAAATGTTGGTTATCCGTTATTAATCTAGTGTGTGACTCAGCATTATTGTTAATCGACCGTCTTTGATGTTTATAATTCGAGAAATTTTGAGCTTAGATTGTGCATTTGTGAATACTTATCAATATATTGGACCTCTAAACTCGCAGAAGTCATTGCACTTTAGTCTTTTTTACTAATTATTTGTAATTTGATATCTATTGAATCCTTACTTCATATTTATATTTTACTTATCTGCAAATTTATTACACTGGATTTCTCGGAAAGCATTGTTTATAGTGCATAAATTATTATCTGAGGCAATGTAAAACCAAAAGCAATATTAGTTTTTTCTTCTTTACTTCTTCATAGACCGTTTCACTTTTGGAACAACGTCTCACTCTTCTGGAGAATAAATGAAAGAATAGAGTTTAAAGTTGTGAACATTGTTCTTCTGCAACTGGGTCATATCTATTAATGTGTCACCTAATTTTATCATTAATTTTGATGGTATTGTAATAAATAATGGATTTAAATTTGCTTGAAACTGTATATGCAATTATAATTTTTTTGGAGAAACCGTCAAACTTTAATTTTTCGTATTTGGAGCTTTACACTGTACATTTTGAATTGAATGTTATTCTTACTTAATTTACGATATCTATTACATATTGTTCATACTTTTATCAATACCGATATCTATGACTATAACATAAGTTTACCTGTTCTTTCCTGTAGATACAATGAAAAATTACAGTCAATTTTTTTTTATTTCGTTAGTTTTCATCGTGAGTTCTCATATGTAGAATGCTTTGGTCTGATTGCCAGGTTTTTTGCACTTCATATTTATTTATTTTTTAAAGAATCACTGCAAAGTAAGCAAATGTTAATGGATTCGAACAAATAAATACTAACCTAAAGATTTTAGCGTCAACAATTGTATCTCACACATTAAAGATCAATCGGTGCTTGATTCTTGCTTCTCAGCTGGTTGATGTCCAAACCATTAATTTAAAAGTTGCGGTGTGTGGACTAACCATAACCTAGTCACCATTTACATACGAATACATACATTTTAAAACTAAAGCCAGATAACTGTCCGCTTGTTAAGGTTCTTTTTTACATGCAACCGTCGTGTTGATTGGTGATTCTGAAGTATTCCTATGTATTGTATTGTCATATAATATTAAGCATAGTTCGCTATGCAAGAAAGGTAATTCAGTTGTGATGTGCCGAGTACGCTTTTACTTGGGTGGTTTATGGTTTCGTTAAGTTGGACAATCTTTTCAGTTTTGTCTCAGGTGAATATATAGTTGTTAAACGACGAATATTAGTTGCTTTCTACTAAATTTGCATATCTGTGACAATTAAGTAGTGGATGTAACACTTTTCTCAATATTGCCCCCACCATTGTTCACAGAAGCTTTCATCAAACCTGGGATAAAAAAACATTGTTCAGCTAAATACAGGTCATAGAAATGTCATTCTTTCGTAACAGACTGGGAACTCACATTTTTTAGATAAATTTCGTATGTTTACCACTAACTTCTTGAACTATGAACTATTCAGTAGTTCTCATTGCATTTTTGTAGTTAAGCTTCTGTACTATTTGGAAAAGTAGTACTGTTAGGTGATAGTTTTCAAGTGGTTTTATTTATTTGGCTATTTCAGTTTCATTCTAGATAGTGATTAATCCATTTATAATTGGTTAAAAAGTGTTATATCCTTTTAATATACGTATAAAAATTTATGAGCTGTGAAAATAAGATGATATCTGTTTAGGTTATGATTGTTAATATCTGATCACTATTTTGTCTTGCAATATTCATTTTTAATAAAGTTTATTTTGTTCCGAAGAAACTTATATTAATTGAAATTAGGAAAAGTATAAGGCTTTTCAAATGACGCGTTGGTAGAAATAACGAGAATCTTTTAGGTACGTCATTTACGAATTCAAGGAAGTTGAAATACCGTGTCATATTCGTATTGTTCTAAACCATGCAACAACAGGAAGTGACTGTTACTTTATAGCCAGAGGTTTAATAATGTTATTAAAGAAATGCTGCTCAATATCTTTTATTTAATATCCTAGTAATTACTACTGGACGTGTTTAGAACTTTTCCTACATTAGCTATACTTCTTCCTTAGTAAGTGTGGAACTTGACAATACCAGGATACTTCTCATCCAATTTCTCGTAACCCTGCGACCTAAATTCCACTCTTTAAGGTCTTTTAACCTTTATTTGGGACTCCACATAACATCTGTTCCTTTGACTGAGATAAATGTTTTTCATTACCTTCTGGTAACTACTTGTGTAGTGTGAGCTACTTATATCCACGCAAGTAGTATATAACAGTAGTCAGGAATAGGATGTATTTCAGCAGAATATCAAGAGGGAAAGAACGGGAACGGAAGGCAACTAGTATGAAAATGCACGAACAACGAAACCTGAGACGATGGACTGATATTTGCAAAAGAAACAGTGGGTGGATTGATATTTTGCAAATTAATTATTTACTGCATTGTTTTCAGATTTTAGTGAGATGATCTGTATCGATTTCCCTCACTCATGTTCTTGTTCACCACACTTGTAGCTTTGTACGTAGAATGAGAGTTTAAATTAAATTATATGATCACGTTTTTCTGTCTACATAAATCCAACTTTCACGGGGGGGTGTCTCTTAAAGCAAACTCAGAGAATTCCGTCTATTTATTTTCAAAAACCTACTGCCGAACAGAAATACTTAAAAGAAAACGTATTACGTTTTCACAAGTAAATCATGCATTTAAAACCGAAGTACTGGTCTGAGAAAGAATAATCTCTTTTTATAGCTGTTGAGTTTATGATTTGATGCTTTTTGTAAAAAAAGACGGGAATAACGTAAAGGTATAAGTTAGTAAATAAATTTAGGCAGTCAAATATATTCTACTGCTGAATAAGAAGAAGACGACAAGTTTGATGAATCTAACGGTCTTACTCCTGTTTATTAAGATGTTTTATTTCCTGAAGCACATAACTTTGTTTTTATGGTTCGTCATTATTTATAAGAGCAGTCGTAAAAGATACGAAAATAAAATCAATATTGGGTATAACGAATTATTTTTTTTTATAACATGACGAAATTTATTTTCAATAAATGTATTTCATTCAATCAAAAGAATAACAATAGAATCAATAACAATTTCAACATACATTTCATTTTACAGAGTATTTTAGAATGAATATTACTAACCAAGTATTTCATTAATACACTGAACTATTTAAATGTAAATGAATAAACATAGAATCTTGTGTATAAACTGCAAAATGTCAATTGGATATTTTTTTTAATAATCAGTATTAACATCAACGTCCTGAAAGGATTGTTTTGAATTTTATAATATATAAATTCTAACAATCACAACATACATCTCGAGTTTAAATCTTTCTTTTTTCTTTGAATATCTGTAAACATTACAATCACTTAAACATTTTAAAGTAAATTATCAACTCTGAAGGAATGGAGTGTACAATTGTCTTCAATTCAACTGAAATATCAAACTATGATAATGCAATAAAATTCACAAATTTATTATTATTATTTTTAATTGATATGAAGATATAACTTGTCTCCATCGTTACTTATCATATTAATTTCTGATTATTGTATGATTTCATTTCTTTTTTTTTCAGTCATTAAAGTTAACAAACTATATATGTGAAAATGGATCATGTGATTTAAGTTTAGGTACTGTTAATTTATTTGTTAAATCTTCAACTAATTCTTCAATTTCTTTTTCAAACATTCTAAACATTAATATTTCAATAGATGTATTATCTGTTTTTAAATAGAATACTTTTTTTGTACTATTTTCAGTTATACCAGCTTCATCTAATAATTTTTTAGACATAATAAATCCAGGTTTACGAAAATTTTCTAATCCACATTTTTTTAATTCATTTTCAGCATTCATTTCTAAATCATTTAATCGTTCATTGATATATAATTCAAATTTACTTTGTTGTGAATCATATTCAATTAGAAATGCTTCAATAATAAAAGCTAATACAACATTTAATACAAGTAATACACATATCCAATGAATTATAATAAAAAATAATTTACTCCATCTTGTTGTAACGATTACATAACCATCAGTAAATATATGCCAATTATTACCAACTGTAATAATGAATAATAATAAGAATGAATCTAATGGACTATTAAAATTAAATGTACAATAATGCCATTTAACAAATTCACTATTCAGTAAATATTTATTATTACAAGTTGTATTTAATGTATAATTATAATTTAATGGTGGTTGATAAACAAATGCAAATAATTCCATAGCAATACATGAAAATATATAAAATAATATTAATAATATAGTTGTATAAGCAGTTAATGATGGTAGAATAATTAAAATACAATTAATCACTATACGAAATTGTTTTATTACACTAAATAATTTTAATAAACGAAATAATCTTAATAATAAAAATATTTGTATAATTTCATGTGATAAATAAATATTAATTGAATAGAATATAAATTGAATTATTTGTCCAATTAATGCACTAAATATAATAATAAAATCAAATAAATTCCAACCATCATTAAAAAATTTAACACCACCACATATTAAATAATTAATAATTAATTCAATTATAAATATTATTGTAAATATCCATTCAATGAATTCTAATAATTTTGGATTTGAATGATACATAACAACACATATTGCATTCATTATAATGAATATAATAAATATTAATTTAGTAATATTATGATTCATATAATAAATAAATAATTGAAATTTCGATGATGTATAAATAGAATAAAATTTTGAAATATATGCATTAAAATAGAAACGATTGAATTCAATCATTTCAAATTTTAATTGCATATATTCTGTTAAACGTTCAAATTCATGTTTTAATAAATAACCAGATTTATTTTTATTTAATAAATAAAAAATTATTTTTAATGAATCTTTATTATAATTTGGTTTAACAATATGCATTAATTGTAAAAATATATTTTGATGAATACCTAATTGTTTATTTGAATTTATAATTGATATTAATTGAAATGCTTCATCTAATTTTTTTTTACGTTTTATAATTGTTTTTAATACAAATTCACCTAAATGTGATTTATATGAATTATATATAGATGCTGTTAATATACCCATAAATAACCAATTACATATTGTACAAATAAATAAATAAATCATTATAAAATAATGATTATATTCATATGCTGGTAATATAATATCAGGTGAATTAGCTGTTGTTGTTAAAACATAAAATTCCCATAATACATCAATAAAATCATATAGATATTTATTACCATTAGGATATGTTAATTTCATATCACTTAATAATGTTAAACTAACAATTGAAATAAATATTAAACATGCACCAAATAAACC